AACAGGGAAGCCAAGTATGTTCCCAGGAGCGACAGAGGCAGGACGGAGCTGGGGGTGGGAGAGCTCTTCGCTTCCTAGAATAGCTCTGTGCATGTTCGTGCCAACTTGGGGGTCCTTCCTTTCACTGATTCTCGACTGATCTATGCAGGGACAGGTAAGGAAGACAGGGCTGCACATGAGCTTCTCAGGAAAGGACAGTCCTCTCTTCCTGGACAGTGTGAGGGAGCCACTGGTGAGAAGGCCCTCGGGGCTGCGGGAAGAACGGTGCACTCGCTAAGGTGGGGTCTGCTCTTGTAAGTTTAGTGCCAGGCGTCTGTCCGGCCTAAGGGCATGGCAGTTCTCAGGCAATCCTGCCGACAGCCGGATTTGAAAAATGCCCAACCAGGTGGTCTCCTGAATCCCACCCACCCTCACCCCCCACCTCGTCCTGACCCCGATAAAATCCAGGGCCTACCCACAGCCATGCATCTCCGCTGTTTCCTCTCTGCTCAGCAACTCTTGGTCGCTGAGCACGATTAAGCAGGTGTTAAGTAGCAAGTTAAGTGTTTCTCAGGCTCAGAGATGTAAGGATTGGGAAGTTCATCTTCTGGAAGAGCAGCTCGTGATGTGGATGAAGCTTCTGATGTGTCCGCCAGTCCCCCGGGGACCCGCCAGTGCCAATCTCAGACTGATCCCCTGCTGGCGGCTGCAGGGCACTTGTGTCCCCTCGGGATTCACCCTCACACTCACCCACCGCGGGTGTGACACAAGAATGTGAGCTCCCCCCAATCACTTTTCAGAGTCTGTGCATTTAAACACATACGTGGCATTCCCTCCTCCATTGGCTTTGATGCCTGTTCTTTTAAGCCCTCTGTTCAAGAGCATTTTCATCAGTAGCTTCATTCAAAATAAATCTGGGAAGACATTTCCTGGACATGGCCTTGAGGCCTAAAGGTTTGCCTGGCCTTGAATCTCTCTTGGTCTGAGGCTGGATAGCTTATTAACCGGAGGGAGACCCAAGACCCTCCCCCCGCCTCCCTCCCCAGTCCTGACTTCTCCAGCCCCAGACCCCCACCACCGTTTAGTGCCAAAGAGGATGAAAAAGCAAAGCTTTTTTGGGTCCCCTAAAAGCAGTGGGTGCTAAAAGCAGTGGGTCCCCTAAAAGCAGACGAGTGACATTAGGAGGGCCCAGCATCTCGCTGAAAGTCTGGTAGCACTTTTCGCAGCAAGGTGAAGTTAAGGCCACCGAGGGCAGACCCTGCTGTCTTTCCCCCCGACAACGGGGTGCCTGCACCCGTTTGCTTCTCTGGTGGTTTTCTTCCACATTGTGCTGGGCTCCCAGTAACAAAGGGTCGGGAGGTCCTTAAAAAGACAGGCCCACGTGTGTGCTGCTGGGATGTTCTCCTAAGCTTAACGTAGCCACTTGTGACAGGCCTATCTTGTTCCACACACAACCTCCACAGAAATCAAAATGCTTACTGACAAGTCCGCGTGGTGCCCTGTCTTCCTTACCTGTCCCTGCATAGATCAGTCCAGAATCAGTGAAAGGAAGGACCCCCAAGTTGGCACGAACATGCACAGAGTTATTCTAGGAAGGAAGAGCTCTCCCGTCCCCAGCTCCGTCCTGCCTCTGTCTCCCCTGGGAGCACACCTGGCTTCCCTGTGCACACAGCAGGCAGCCACACACTTGGCTCCCCGTTCACAGAGGAGCAAGGTAACTAATCCTAGGGAGGGGAGCCCCTCACTGACTAACCAGCTAGCTTAAAAGGTGAGATACCCCGGAGCAAAAGGGAAAAGGCATCTGGCATCAGGGAGAATGAAGAAATGGTTACAGAAAGTCTGGAAGCCCTAACACGTGGGACAAATATGGCTGACGTGGCAGAATCCAACAACATCAAGGACACACCTCTCCTTTGGGCAGGATTTTCTGTTCATCCAGTTTGAAGGCCGTCCCGATTCTTCTGCGAACGATGGGTGGTTCCTCCCCCGGGTCCAAGGGATACTCAATGGGCAGTTTGCCTGTCAACTCCTGCATACGTGCAAGAGCAGGAGAGAGAAGAGAAATCAGAGGAAGGCACGTGCTTGAGTTCCAGGATGCACGTGTGCACACACACGCACACTTTGGTGCATGGATTCCGTGCACAGATTCGCAACAGTCGCCTTTAGTGACGCACCTAAGAGCTCCTGAAACGCAATTTCATGTCTCAGAAAAACTGTAAGAACAGTCCTTTCTTTACAGAACCGATGTGCTTTGGGGCGCCTGGGTGGCTCAGTCGGTTGAGCATCCAACTCTTGATTTTGGCTCAGGTCATGATCCCAGCGTCATGGGCTCAAGACCAGCTTCAGGCTCTGCATTGGGATTCTCTCTCTCTCTCCCCCACCCCCCACCTCTGGCCCTCCCCCGCTCTCACTTTCTCTAAAAAAAAACCCAAAAAACAAAAAACCCCAAAACAAACCCAAACAATCCAAAACCAAAACCAAAAAATCAATAGAAACGGATTTCTAGAGTTTCAATAGAAACTGAAACTTTATGTTACTGTCAAGGGCATTAAAAAAGATCTGTTATGTGTTCTCAGCTCTAGAAATCTAACTGTGTGAGTATGAGGACACTGAATTTAGTTGACAGATCACCACAGTGACAATGATCCTGGCTGATGCTGAGGTCTGTGGATGATTCAGGATTAGAACTAGGCTCCATTGTAGGGATGACGTCTGGGCATAAAGATCAGATTTGAGTCAGTGGCTACTCCACTGGTAGTGCCAGGGCATCAACAGCACGGGGTCACTTCCAGGGACCAGGAGAACGTGGGACGGCCACTGTGCATCTCCACTGCACAGGGTCCGCTTCCAGGCAAAGCCCAGCCCCGGGTTGCCAGTCGTCAGTCCATGTCTACAGGGCACAGAGACTCCAGGGGCCGCTCTGATAAGAAGAGCTCGGCTGTCCGTCTGCACAAAGAGCTTTTGTGCAGGCAGCCCAGTATGAGTGGCCGGCGGGTGGGACAGCCCCAGACGTGGGACCCCAGGTGTTGACCCACCTTTTTTTTTTTTAATTTTTCAATAATGTTTCTTTTGAGAGAGGGACCACGAGCAGGGGATGGGCAGAGAGAGAGGGAGACACAGAATATGAATCAGGCCCCAGGCTCTGAGATGTTGGCACAGAGCCCGACACAGGGCCTGGACCCACAAACCATGAGATCATGACCTGAGCCGAAGTCGGACGCTCAACCAACTGAGCCGCCCAGGCATCTGGACCCACTTTCTAATAGGAGGACTGATCTGGCCTTTCCCCACTGCTATATGTGTGTGTGCATACATTGGAGTGTATGTGTGTGCACTGGGTGTGTGTGTACTGGTGTGTGTGTGCACTAGGCTGTGGATGTGGATGCACTGGGGTGTGTGTGCGACTAGGGTGTGTGTGTGTGTGTGTGTGTGTGTGAATGTATAAGCACAGGCAGCTCCCTCTCCTGGGTCTCTTTCCTTCTGTGTTCAGGCGACCAGGAAATGAACTCTTGGACTTTTAACTCCTCACTGTAAGCGTTTCACAACATAATGGCCAACTACTGAGTATGAAATGCTCTGCGATTTTCTTCCCTGTTTTCTAAAACAGGGAACGTAGTTCAAATGTCTCCAAAGTAGTTTTGTGTTTATTCTGCAACATTTTTATCTGCTTCCCTAAAAGCCTGTCTATAAATAACACAATACACTGGGGGTTCTATATTCTTAGGACTTTTCGTTTTTTTACCTTGAAACTTAGAAAAAGGAGGGGAACGTGATTTAACCTGGCCATTTGACTTAGAACCCCAAAGTGTCTGTAGTTTTGCACCAAACTGGATTCAAAAGTGAGGCTACTGATTTCCCACCATCCCCTTGAAGGCGTTTGAGTCAAGCCCTTCATTCTCCATGACTCGTCTAATTTCACGTGGAGCCAGACCCGCACGGGGCAGGGGCGCTTTAACGAGCTGAGCTCTGGTGGAGGGGTCGGCCTGGTTCCTTCTTCTCTTACGCTGCTTACATCCTGCCGCACTGCACGGCATTTGGGCCGCCTGGCGCCCCAGCGGACAAACGGGGCTCCTCGAGAGGGAGCTGAGGGTGTGTGGTGTGTGTGACACAGACAAAGAGTGGGGCAGTTACTGAGAAAGTTCTCCCGCCCCTTCGCTGCGGGGGAGTCGGGAGACTGGCTGAGCAAGCACAGAAGCAATCTGTTTCCTGAGAGGTTATTTCTTCCACCCAACTTGTTTGCTGGTGTCGACACTCTAAGAAGCGGGAGCTCGGTTTCCCTTATTTTGCTTTTATTTTAAGAGAGACAGTGAGACCTTTATAATGCATGCTAACTTTGCCCTGACAGGCTTCTCCAATTTTCGGATGCTGATTCCCTGCTGGGTTTAGGGACGTTTCCTTTACTAAAAACAAAACAAGGCTTTACAAATTATTAAATGCAGACAGACACCCAAGCCCATATTTTTTCATTGCTTTCAGCACAGTCTCTATAAAAAGGTTGCTAATGCTAAGACTATCAGGGAGCAGATCCCCTGGCCGGGCCGGCTGCTTTCCAAAGCTTTGCAGTGCATTTGTGCTCATGTGGGTCGGCTTCGAGCAGGCTCGGGTTTAAATCAAGCCAGCGCGCAATTAAGCCAAGATGAAAAGTAATGCGATCTCATTCTATAGCCCCTTGTTTCACTCTTCCTGCGACAAGGCACTGGGGCGGGGAGGGGAGGGGAGGACACTCGTCAGCTCAGGAACCTCTTTTGCTTCCCATTCCGAACCGTTTCACCAACAGAGCTCTTTGTATAAGGTTAAGCTGAGCACGGTCGCCCTCCCCAGGGTGCCCGCATCCATGTGTGTGTGTACGCACCCCCCCCCACCCACGCACAGTAATGAATTAAACAACCAACTTTTCTGGGGTGCCCGGGTGGCTCAGTTGGGTAAGCGTTCGACTTCGGCTCAGGTCATGATCTCACGGTTCGTGGGTTCGAGCTCCGTGTCAGGCTCTGTGCTGACAGCTCGAAGCCCGGAGCCTGCTTCGGATCCTGGGTCTCCCTCTCTCTGCCCCCTCCCCGACTCGTGCTCTCTCTCTCTCAAAAATAAATAAATGTTAAACAAATACAGACAGTGGGGGGGTGGGGCACAGGGCCAAAATCCCAAGGAAACTCGAGCCTGGTGTATAGAGAGAGGCTTGAGGAAGCATTGCTTTCCGTACAATTTAAAAATCTCACCAGACTAAGACTTCATTTAAAGAAAAAGTGAAAGGAACACCAGATGATGAGTTTTAAAGGGGATCGTATATCAAGTGAAACCTTGGTTTCCTTGCTGAGCTCCACCGAGGTCTCTCAATAGGATTTCCCAAGATAAATGTGAAATATAATCAAGACAAACAAGCACCACCATGGCCATAAACTCAGGCACAAAAATTTTAGTTACATGGTGGCAAGCCAGTCTATCCCTTGAGCGAGTATCACAGGAGGAGACGCCTTATCAACTACGGTGCACCGAGTACTTATACGGGACTGCCATTACGGTCGTTTGGGTTCCAGTGGGGTCCCCTTTAGGATTCGGGCAGAGCCACTTTAATTGCTGTCCTAGTGGTTCATTAAGGCCCACTCCTGTTCGTCACAGAGCACTGGTGGGGCTGTGAGTGTCCCCCATCTGTGGTCCAGGAGAGGTCCCGCCTCCCTCTTATGCTGTCCGTGTGATCCCCAGCTTTGCCTTTTCTAACTAGGTGAGGACAGAGGAGGACACACACGCACAAAACGTGAACTGCTTACAGCTTCTCGAAGGCAGAGCTTTTTCAGTTCCTCCAGCCGCTGGCGGAGAGTTTCTTCCAGAGCTTCCTGCCTGGACTTCAAGGCGGCCAGCATGTCTTTCTTGGCCGACTGAGAGCTATCGGATTCCTGAGAACCTGTCAATAAACAGTGGGGTTAGTAGAGCAGCGGAAGGGGGAGACACATCTGGACCGCGGAGAACCTCCCTGGAGCCCATACTGGGGAGGTGGGTCTCGCCCAGGAATCATGGGAGGGGGACATAAAACAGGTGTTGCCGAGTCCCAGGTGCGAGGAGCCAATTCTTGGCCCTCAGTGGAGTTTACAGCTGCCCAGAGGACTGGCAGGGAAATTTACACCCCTGAAAAAGAAGTTTCTCTTTCTTGATTATCTCAAGATATGTGGTATATACCTGTCTTAATTCACTAGCGTGTTCTGATAGCCTTTACACAGTGAAGTGGGAAGTTCAGTCCAAGCCAGTCATTTGAATGCACACCTTTAATTTCCTTTTTTCCCTTTAAAAAGTTCAAAGAGGTTGCATGTTTCTCATAAAAAACTTGAAAATCGAGACATGTACAAAAGTAGTCTGTAAGTAAGTCCCCCAGAGATAACCACCGTTACACTTTTTTCTTTTGACCTTTTTATCTCAGTGCATAGATTTTAGGAATAAAATTTGATTTTCATTATATATTTTTTAACGTAATACTGGATCACGAGCACAATCCCTCCTGACGAAAGTTATACGTATTTTACCACGCAGGGTGGAAGTATCTGTGTGACGATTCAAGCAGCAGACAGCTGGATATGAAATCTTGGTGGAAGGCAAACTGTGAACCAAACTCGAAAGGAAAATAAGCTAGAATGCCAACCGGAGGAATGTAGGTTGGACCAAAAAAACACTTTCCGGGCCACAGTCTTTGCATTCTGAAGCGGGTTTCCAGCAGTGAAGCTATTCTGCATTTCTACCTTGGTGGGTTCCAACAAGGTCCACCGACGCCCTGGGAATGGAGAAGCTCATAATTACTTTGCTTCTCATGCCCACAGAGACGGACAGGTGTTATCAGGTATGCGCTCCAGGGGCTTGGATGACGATGCCATTTGCGAGAGCATCAAACAACGCCAAATACCTAGGGGTAAGTCTAGTGAAAGATGTATGAGATCTCTACAGTGAAACTCTACCCTGCGGAGGAACAATGAAGAGGTCTACCATGGTCATGGATTGGAAGCCTGATGTAAAGATGTCAGTGCTCCAGGAATTAAACAAGACAATCTTTGCAATCCCAGTAAAAGTTCCAGCGGGATTTTCTGGGGAGAGGTGGGTAGGGATTGTATTTCCATATGGAACATTTTGGGATAATTCAGCGATCAGATGACAGATGCGAGAACAATGCAACTGAAATCGCTAGACTCAACTGTTCTCTTCCAAGGGTAAAGAGAGCATCTCAGAATCCTAAGTCTAGAAAGGTCTTTCATGCCTTTGTGTCACAAAGCTCTGCTATACTCACATCATCCCTCTAAATACACTATTCTATACTTTCTTACTTAGTCTTTTCGGCAAGAAACCCCATTTTTACCCCCTCAGTTACCCCTCAGTTACCATGCAGGTAGATTCCTATAACCCTAATACTCAAAGAGTCTTATGGCTAAGTACATTTTGACTCCAACTTGGGCTTTTTACTTTTCTCCCCCACCCCATCTTAGCTTGAAATAGAGACGATCTCTCACGGCAGGAATGTACCACCTTTATGCCTCCACAGTAGCTAATAAATACGAGCTGGAACAAACACACATAAATGTCATCAGCCATAAACTTGGATGCTATAATTAAAGTGCAGTTCAGCCTGGTAAAGAGAACTCATACCTGTGAGCACCTAGAAGTTATAGAGCCTGCCTTCTAAACTTTCAGTAATTTTTGCAGCTCTTCCCCAGGTTTCGTCATGCTCAGTTGCAGGACTCCAAGTTCAATCAGAAACCCAGACAAAGAGCCTTGACTCTTACTAAGGCTCCCATTTCCTCATGGTTGTCAGACATTAAGCTGTTACACTCACGCAACACAGCGCTGGGACAATACCACAGTCTCCCCTTCTGATACGGCTCAGGTTTTCTTACCTCTGTAGGTCAATTACCCTGCGCTTGTCAGTACTCAGCTACCTCTAGGGTACACCCACCCAAGGAAGCACAGCTAAGTTGTCCGGCATCTTAATCTGGTTCTCGTGGCGACAGTCACCAATCAAAATGGAGGACACAGGGACACCTAATGGGCTTCCCTCTGCTCCATCATCTAAAGCTTAGTAACGATGTGAAGTAAAGGTTGGGAAGAAGTCAGACTTCAGATTTAAAAAAAAAAAACAGGGGCGCTTGGGTGGCTCTGTCGGTTAAGCGGCCGACTTCGGCTCAGGTCACGATCTCACACTCTGTGAGTTCGAGCCCCGCGTCGGGCTCTGTGCTGACCGCTCAGAGCCTGGAGCCTGTTTCAGATTCCGTGTCTCCCTCTCTCTGACCCTCCCCCGCTCATGCTCTGTCTCTCTCTGTCTCAAAAATAAATAAATGTTAAAAAAAATTTTTTTTAATAAAAAAAAAAAAAAAAAAAAAAAACAGGCCTGGGGCGCCTGGGTGGCTCAGTCGGTTAAGCGTCCGACTTCAGCTCAGGTCGTGATCTCACGGTTCATGGGTTTGAGCCCCGCGTCAGGCTCTGTGCTGACAGCTCAGGGCCTGGAGCCTGCCTCGGATTCTGTGTCTCCCTCTCTCTCTGCCCCTCCCTGGCTCACGCTCTGTCTCTGTCTCTCGAGAATAAATAAATGTAAAAAATAAATTAAAAAAACAGGCCTGGGGAAACCTGGACCCAATTAGATTAAAGGATTTCTAGCTCCAGTGAAAAATTCACTGTTTTCCCATTCACCCCTGCCTAACCCCTCGATAGGAAATGATGATTTATTAAGTCTGAGGATTCAGTGTGTCCAAGGATGGCAGAAATCACAGGAACGTTGGACTCTGGGAGACAAAGTACAACATGTTTGGATGATCTGGTCTCTCAGCTTTGGTGCTGAATTACAGGGCTCATTAGCGCCACTTAAATTATTATTATTTATTATAATTAGTCCAAATACCAAACCCACATAAGACAGAGTGGATGGCTCAAGAGGCCCTTATCTTTATCTGAAACCACCAACACTGGCTGGCTCTGTTTCCTGCCTTTTTTCTGAAAATTGCCTTATGAGGACTATACCAAGTAAAAGTTTTACAAAGTAACTGAGCTGGCCCTGACCTGGCCATGCAGATTTTTTTTTTAGCGGTAACTGGATGGTGAGTAGACAGTAAAACAGATCTGGCTTTGATGGGCTCTAAACCACGCATGAGTTGTGCGACCTTGGGCAAATGACCCGCCCTCCTTAATCTGTTGCAAAGACTAAACGAGACCACGCACATACAGCACTTATCACTGTGCCTGGAAAAGGTAAGTCCTCAAGATCTCGGGTAGATTTAACAGGAGTGAAACACACAGTAGAACTAGAAAGAAAGAGACCATTGAAACTACCTCCTCCTTCTTGCTCAAGAAAAGACCTCACTCTGCAATTCAGCATACAAAGGCAGTATTTTCAAACTGTTTCTTGAGCCCCTGAGTCTGCAAATTATGCTTCTGGAGCCACTGCACATGGGGGTGGGAACAAGGTCAAGGAGACTCCGGGGTTCAGGGGCCCCACTCCAGGCTCCTTGGGCCAGGGAGTTCTGTATTTATCTGTTTTATGCATTTGAAAAGAGGCTCCCAGGGCATGTTTCTTTAAAGGAAACCCTTGGGGAAAGGTTCTGAGCCTGTGGGGCTGTTACCCGGAACCAGGCAAACATGGCCACCACAAGATGAAGTGGCCAAGTGCCCAGCGGCAAGGGTACCCAAGTAACAGTACCACAGAGGGAAACTCAGGGGCATCAGGGGAAGGAGCCCCAGGTCTCTGTGATGCCGAGGGGCTTCTTACCCCCTCCACAGGTGCCCTTGGGCATTCCCTGTCATGGGGGACACATACGAGGGAGGCCAGCAAGAGAGCCTCGAGTGGGTTGGGATTCACGGATTCACTCTTACTCTCCTCAAGTGACAGAGAATGACTCTGGAAGAAAGGAAGAAATTCAATCAGGGAAGGGCCTCGGGAGGTCAATGGGAGTCTTACAACAGAAAGGTTCATGAATAAAGAATGATTCTAGATGGAGAAATCATTGACCTGATGAAAGATACAGAAGTTCTCTGTTGCTATGATTTACCCATTGCTGGTTATCTGAACACCTATACGCCTTTGCAAATGGATCACTCTGAGGTTGCTAGTTTCGCCTTTTGGAAGCTATAGAGAAGTAAAGCTGCTATCTTTCAGAAGAGCAGTGATGGACAAGGAAGGACCTGGGTTTCCATCACGTGTCTGCTATGAAATGGTGTCAGACCTCGGGGTCACTAACTTCTTGGAGCCATCATGTCCCCATCCAGAAGATGACTAACTAACCAACCTCCAAGATGGCTCCAAACACGGGGAATTTATTACTTAACAAACAGCTTACTTAAGTACCTCCCTCTTGTCTCCTTCAGTCCTTTCCTCAATTGTCACAAAAGTAACCTTACACACAGTGTCAACCTCCCTCCTCTTGACCAGCCCCACCTCCGGATAAGACAAACACTAGGCCAACTCTGGTCCCACGCTCAGTTACTGGAAGGGAACGTCTAATTATCAACCCGCGCTGAAAGGGCCGGGTTACCTCTCCATCTTATCGACAGACCAAAGCACACGTGTATAAGTTTGGATGCTAAAAAAGCAGTTACTCTGAGCCATCTTTGGGATCAGTGAAGTAGGAGGGTGGTTGGAACCATCCGAGAAGAGCAAGGTTTCAAACTTTATGGGTTGACAAAACAGTAGCCAAGTGCTACTTGGAAAGGGCTGTCCACACACATGATGAATCCGTACGGGAGCAAAAAAGAAAGCGGCGGTGACAGGAGTGTGTTTTGAAAGAGACAAGTAATTCGTTAACACCCGGTTGTCCGAAGTTTGAAGCAGCACCACGCTTCTGGAAGGGGTGAGGTGAATATTCTTCAGAAAACACACCCAGAAGACAGAAGTAGAAGAAGACGCAAGTCTACAAGCCAGTGGGTGAGTCAGCAGGTCTG